GTTTTTCAATCCATCCTTCACGAAGCCCTCCCATGTAGCTAGCGTTCTTGGCGAATGTCTCGAAATGGCCAGCAGGCGCTGTCTGCTCGCGGTCTGTGCGGGCCGCTCGTCCTCCTCGCCCTTCTTTCGTCCTCCCGTCCCTCCCCTCCACCATGGCCTCGTCGACCGGAGTTGGATGGTACCACGCGTCTCACTGAGACGCGGGGTACTGGCCATGGCCGGGCTACGGAGCGTGAGGTGGCGAGCGGAGCGAGCGACAAAACAACGAGAAAAACACGGATCTGAGGATTGTCACAAAACCTCAGATCTTGCGCCACCCAGGGCTGGACCTAGTCCGCCTGCCCCTCCTCCTCATGCATGTAGATGCATGCCCTGTTCGTCACGTGTCGTGCTAGGTCCATCTCGTACGCGCTCGTTACCCTGCTCCGCAGGTGTGCCTTTGCCGCCGCGTCCGCCATGGAATTGGGCGCGTTGCCCGCATGCCCCTCCGTGAAGATGAAAATCACGTACCCTCCGTGGCGCTGTATAATGTCGATTTGTGCTTGCACCGCCGCATTGAGTGCGCTCCTATTTGTCTCGCCGCGTGTCCGCCCCCGATACGCCCGTTCGATCTCCTTGAGCGCCGTCTCGCTGTCCGACATTACTAGGCATCGGTGAGGCTGGAGGGTCGTTTCTGTTTCGTCCGCCTTCGTGCGCAGGAAGCTGTAAATGGCGTACATCTCGGCGTCGACAATCTCCCACGATCCCGGCAGGGCGCCTCCCCATATTCCCCGTCCTATTCGCTCGTGAATCTGTGCCCTGGTCTCTTGTGTGTCGTCATCTCCCTCTTTCGGCTGCACGCCCTCCCATCCCCCGAACGATGCTAGCCTTCCGTCTCGAGTCTCCTTCAGCGAGCTGCGAGGCGTCCGTCGCTGCCGCCGCTGTGAAGTGGTGCCACTTGTGTATATGTATAGGAATAGCCGTACCCTACCTGGGTACCCACCTATCTGAGAGTGAGCTGTGTACAACCCCCGGGAACACTACCTATCTGCCGGAGCGACTCCACGGTGAAGCACCGACAACGATTAGTCAGGGGCAGCGGCGGGAGCTCCGCCCTCGCGATTGGCATCGGGCCCCTGGCCCTGCTCCCACCGGCTCGTTGACTGCCACCGCTTGATGTGCTTCTTGTCGTCGCGATCCACCTGTGGGAGGAGGACGCAGGGCGGCCATCGGGGAGGACGCAGGGTGGCGGGCCATTTGAAGTTCCGCCGGTGCCGTTCGGAAGGCGGGAGAGAAGGGACCCGCCAGGCACACGCGACCGCTACACTGCACACCGCGGCAAAGCTCTGCCGGTCGCGCTGGATGGCGACCACCTGCTGGAAGAGCGGTGACCCGGCGGCGAGGACGCGGCGAGGACGAGCGGCCGGCTCCGCCGGCTTTTCCTCGGGCTGCGGCGGTCGCTGTTGCTCTCGCTGCTGTTGGCGCGACCGTCGCTGCTGCTGCTGCTGCGGCTGCTGCTCCCGCTGCGGCGCCGCAGCGGCCCACTCCTCGAGTCCTCCGAACCACTCCTCGAACTGGCTCTTTGTGTAAAGCTCGCCGTCAGGCGCTCGGCGTCTCTCCATTGTGCCAGTCCGCAGACGAGTCGGCGAGTCCTCGAAAGAGCAACCCAATGGGTCCTC